TCTAAGTGCTCCACAGTGCCTGTTTTAGCTGCCTTCATGGTTTTGAGGACAAATTGTTCTCATTGGTCCATTCTATAGGAGGAAGTCTTCACATGCTTGGTGTAGACATCCCCCTAACTCACTGATGGGTTTGAGGCCTGTCAGTTACCCTCAACCTCGTTTAACCCATCTGCCAAGACAATTTACTGGGGTGCAGCCATTGTGCATGCCACAGCTTCTTGGAGCCGCAAGTGAGAGCTGGGTGGCAGGTGGACACCAAAGGTGAATGAGCAGCCCCGAAAAAGGCTAATTCACACCAGAGTTTCTAGTTCTCCTTGAACACCCCATAGACCCCAGGGCTGATATACAACTTCTGACTCTGGAGTCAGAAGACCTGAGTTTGAAGCCTGGTGTTATGATTTACTACCTGTGTGACCTTAGGCAAATCATTTCTCTCTCTCTCTGGGACTTAGTTTCCTTACATGTAAAACGAGTGGGGTCACACTAGATGCCCTCTAAGGACCCTTCTGGTTCTAAGTCTATGATCTGAGGCACCAGAAGTCAAGAGTATCACAGGTCAAAGGCAGGCCAGAGAATCAGTGTAGTCAAAAGCAACGATCTGGAAGTGGGGAGACCTGGGCCCTTACACTCATTCTGCTGCTCGCCATCTATGTGACTTTTGGTGAATCATTGGCTTTTCTCTCCCTAAAGACCCTCGTATCTTAGGCATGTTGTAGCAGGGATTCTTTTTTTTAGGCATAGATTGGTTGGATTAGATGGCTGCCAAAATTCTTTCTCTATTTCTCGGCCGTTGGTACTAAGTGGTCCTAGCTTTTGGAAACACTTCCTTCCCAGTCTTTGGCTTCCTGCATGCCTGCATCACTGCATACTTTCAACCTCCTGGTCTCCACAGCAATACAAGGTCATCCTCAAAGCCCAGGGAATGGGGCAGCTGCCCTGATTCACCAACCTTGATCTGGAGTCAGAAGAACTAGGTTTTCCACTCTAATTTAGGAATGGCTATGCTTCAAGTTAAAATAGACCAAGTCCCTTCATGAATTTCATCAGTTTGAAATGCCATTTATTGTGTTCATTTAAAGTGAGACGTATGTGTAATGAGAGTATTCAGGGGACTTCCCCTATTCCTCCTAACCTATTTGAGGGCATTTCCCTGGAGCCGAGCATGAACCCTAATCACTTCCAGTGGCTGGGCTCCTTGCTAACTAGAAGATTCCGGTTGGTTCCCACGTATACTTTTTTTTTCTCCTCTCTTCTCCCTTTACCCTCCCCACCAAAAAAAAAAAAAAAGGAGAAGAAGAAGAAGAAGAAGTTTGACTGCAAGGTATCAAGAGGTGCCCACTCAGTAAACTTTCAAGGGAGAGACAGCTTTGACTTTGACTGTTCCTCTTTTGGGACTCTGGCAGCTTTTCTTTAGACTTCCCATGGTGTGTCCAGAATGGGGAGAGGGATAAGCAGCTACGGCTATCATGAGCAATGGGGGGTGAGTACATGTGTTTGTCTAGGTAAGATTGGGACTGAATTTCAAGGCTCAGCCTGTCTCTTCTGTTTTGCATTTCTTCCCTTAGTATAGATGACTACAGAAAATCCTGAGAGTCCTTTTTGAGCCTGATGGCTATCTTGGGAGTTCAGGAATTTTGGATTTCTCAGTCAGTGCTGGTTGTCATGTAGTTGGTGATCCATTCAGCTACAACTTCTAGGAGGGGAAGATGATATGAGAATCAGCCATACCTACTGGACTGGCCAGAAGAACCTTCAGTGAGTTGGTTATACAACAGATCTGAGGTGAAAGTGTCATGTCTGTCCATGCTTTAAAAATTTGTATCATGCCTTACATAGTTATTAATGCATGGTTTTGAGTCTTTGTGTTTAAGCATTTCTTTTTCAGTGGAAGAAATAAGTAGCTGTCCTATACCTGATTACTTTGTATATTGAAGACCATGCTAGAAGTTAGCCAGTCCTAAGCATGAGTCAGACTTAACCTTTGTTTAAGAGATTATTACCAGAGTACCTTGAGGTAAGGATGTAATTAGCCAGAGATAATGAGAAAAAAAAGACCTCTTTGGAAGTCAAGGTCCCCTAGGATAGGATCTAGTTCATGAATTCAGATGTAGGATTCTTTAGTGAGGGGGGGCCCCCCAACCCTTTAGGCCAGTATATCTGTTATAGATGTTAATTTTTTAAATTTTTATTTGCTACTTAGGGTATTCTTGGGAAGAAGTGTGGGGTTGGGGACAAAACTGAGTTTGGGCACAAACCTAAGCGATGAAAAAGTGCATGGGATGAGGAAGAAGTAAATGTGGTCAAGCTGAAGATTGTTCTGTTTCTCATCTGCCTTCCAGCCTTCAAGTGTGATAGGTCAAGGAATGGAACTAATTTTGTTGGTATAGGAAACTCCTTGCTCCAACACAAGATGGCACTTTCTCTGCAATTTAGAGACAGCGAGAATTTTCTGCAGCACTGTGAGGTTTCTAGACCCTGCGTCCAGAGTCACATAGTCTGTATATGTTAAAGTTGGGACTTGAACCTATGTCTTCCTGGCTATGAGGATGTTTCTCTATCCACTAGACTTTTCCATAAATGTGTGTTTATGCACATGTATGTGTATATTATATAAAGGCAGCCAGGTGGCACAATGGGTAGAATGCCGGGCTTAGTGAGGAAGACTCCTCTTCCTCAATTCAAATCCAGCCTCAGACACTTACTAGCTCTGTGACCCTGGGGAAGTCATTTAACCCCATTTGCCTCAGTTTCCTCATCTGTCAAATGAGCTGGAGAAGGAAATGGCAAACCACTCCAGAGTATTTGCCAAATGGGTTCACAAAGAGTAGGAAATGACTGAAAAATGACTCAACAACAATGAAGTGTATGTTAAGATAGGGATAGCTTTCAGAAAGATAGAGTTCTGGCCTTGTGGGGCTCTGCTGAAACCCTATCTGGAGTGGACTGTGTCAGTAAAGGATAAGAAGTTAATGTTTCATCTACAGGTGCAATGGAAAGATATTTGAAGAATTTTGAAGGAGGGGAGAAGCCTGGAACCTAAAATGGAACCTGAGGTTTACATCTCAGAGATTAAACCTCAAGCAATTCAGATATTTAAAGTAATATGCAACTACTTATTTTTAAATTTTATAACTCATGCATTCAGACTAGAAGTGAAATTTCTGAAATTTTAGTTTCTAGGCTCTGGGCCCCCACATAGTTTAAAAGATGTCATCCAATTCATTGACCATCAGAATGCCTTTTCCAGTAGGAGACAAAGAGCTTTTTGAGTGTAGGATAAAAAAAGTATCAGTCTGGACTTCAACAAAATAAAACATCGGGATTTCTCACCCAAAGGTCCAGAGTTGATGTTGACACATTATAAAATCATAGGAATTAAACTGGATAAAGATTTCAAGAGAGGCAGTTTGTTACAGTAGATTGAAAGTCAGCCTTGACTTTCAGAAAAGACTTGACAGTCAGAAAGATTTAGGTTCAAGTCTCACCAAACACATTTACTGAC